ACACAGCAGGGACTGTGCTGAAAGCACAGTAGATCCCAGAGGCAGACACCCAGCAGCCAGGCCCCTTGTCCTGGCTCAGAGTTTGTGCTCGGCTCCCCCTGCAGTTCCTGCCACTGTGTCACTCACAGCACAGTAGTACACAGCCGAGTCTGACGCTTCCACTGAGGCTTTCTCCAAGTGGAAGGAGCTGGCGGCTTTATCATATGTGGCTTCAAATCCTTTGCTTCTTCCCTTCTCATTGGCTGTCATGGCTTTTAGGAGGAGTTCTGGACCTCCTCCAGGGTACTGGACATACCAGAAAAGTGCAGGGTAGCCTGAGGCTGTGTAAGTGCAGTTTATGGTCAGAAGAGCCCCTTCTGTGGTGGTCAGTTGGCCTCCCATCTGTGTCACTGACTGTCCGTATCCTGTCTGTATCCTTCCTGGGGAAAAAAGTCTGTGTCATTTCAGGCATAAGCTCTTAGAGAAATTGAAAGATTTTGTGAGATCATAGATAAAGGAGTCTGCATTGCAGAAGGCATTTTACTTACCAACTACTAAGACTATCACAGTCACCAAGTGGGCAGCAGTGTTCATCTTCAGGATATTGCCTAAGTCAGGTTCCTGATTCTTTACACGAAGAACTGTTGAAGTCATAGTGAAGTGATGAGCCTAAGCCTAAAAAGACAGGAAATGAGGTTGTGTTAGGAAGCTGCGCCCCCTGCTGGACAGGGACTGATCTCCAGCAAATGTTTTTCTGGACTTAGAAGTCGGAAACATGTTCTCATCCCTGGTCTCATTTGCAAGGATACTCAGACTTCGGGTGGCCTATATCAACTTGTATGACAGCTACTGTAATTTCGAAGGTCTTCCTGTTCATAGGATATTACCTGACATGAAAACGACCCCCAGGGCATCACTTAGCCGTTCAGTGCCTGTCAGAATATATCAATTATGTTTGACTTTTTAATTCAGGACTTTATATCCTTAGGTGTATACTGTGAGACAGCCTGAAATCCAGTAAATGACATAAAAGTGACTTCAGTGAAATCATGTTGTTATCATATATTTCTGTTTTTCAGCACGGTCTCTAATGCTACAACAGTTAATAGATGTTCAATTTTGCAAAAAAAATTAAAATAATGATTACTAGTCTTTGGTAGTTGCTACATATACAAAAATACTTTGCATGTTCTAAATTAATGTCAATTTTAGGAATATTACCTTCTTAAAATTTTATTCATACACTTTTGACCTACATATGATCACATTCTCCACAGAGAATTTTTACCTGTACATAATATATCTTAATTCTTTTTTCCATTCCTTTCCCCTCCCTTCAATCCTCCTCCTCATTTACAAAACTTTGGGGGCTGGGGATTTAGCTCAGTGGCAAAGCGCCTGCCTGGCAAGCGCAACGTCGTGAGTTCAATTCCTGGTACTGGAAGAAAACAAAAAAAAAAAACAAACTTTGCCTCTATTGTTTTCCTTCCATTCTTATGTTTTTAATCCCTATTCCCTTTCTTCCTTCTCCCTCCTCTCCCCCTTGTTCTCCTTCCCATTTGAGCATTTCTTCTTATGGTCCAATATCTATCCACCATTTTGGTCCTTACTTACCCTTTGGTTTTCTCACACAAGAAAACAATATGATATTTAAACATGTGTGTCTGATTTATTTCAGTTAAAATTATGCTGTCAAGGTGCATCCATTTATTTCAAAATGTCTCAAGTTTACCCTTCTTAGGGATATTATCATTTTAAGAAAAACTTTTCAGGAGAAAAAAAGATCACACCATGCCATCAATACTCAAATATTCCTGAATGTCAGTGTCATTGAAAAGTTAAAAGTATAAGCCCTGGACTGAAGAACTGTCTTCAGTTAGATTACTGAGACTCTTTCGAACGATCTGAGATTATTCGTTTCCTCCCACCATTTCACTTACTCCAAGCAAGAGGACCAGCTATATGAATCAGGCAAGTGCTCATGCTGGGTTCTAATGGAAGTCCAACCTCAAAGACACTTTTCACTTTGATGAAGGCTTAGCCCATTTTCTTAGAGTTCAGTTTCCTCAGATTTGGTTAAAGGTGGCCTTACATCCAGAGTTAACCTATCAACAGATTCTTTTACATAGATAAAGAAACGTTTTCTTTCTCCCTCTCTTCGCCTTCTGAATCATATTGTCAGAACCCAACACAGAACTATGAGAGTAAGGCATTTTGAGAAGCCAACTACAAAAATCCTCTTCTGATCAATGGCTTGAGAGAAAAATATGTCCTGGTGTTATTGGTTTGTAAAACACAGTAACAGAGAGTTCAGGTTTACAAGTGGCTGTCTTATGAGTGCCGTGTTCTATAAATGGCAGGTTGTACAGCAGTGTGAATGAAGTGAACACCACAGAACTGCACACTTACAAATGGCTAAGATGTTTTACGTCACGTTGAATTTTATCAACTAATATGACATCATCCATTCTCCAGTGACAGGAATTAAAAGTTACCAATATAAAAGGTTTTCACTCAGTTTTTCCAGAGTCTCCATAAGCAGCGAGTCCACAGCAGATGAGCACAGCTTTGCTACCCCTGAAACACCGAGTCCTTGCATGAAGCAGACAGCGAGTCCACAGCGATCAGAGCTCTCTGCACGCTGGAACAACCCATGGCCACGCTCCCCACTGTGGCTCTTTGCTTTTTACCCTTTTCATTTATTTTTAAAATTTTATTTGTAGTAGTACATGTTTGCAGTACACAATGATTATATTTGTCACGGGGCGTTGGCACATGGACAGAAAACATCCTAATTCTTTTCTCGGTCCTTCCCTTCTCCTGCCTACCACTTCCCTCCATCTTTTGGTCCCCTTCCATGTTGCAAAAGATCTATCTCTTGTTTCCTATTATTTGCCTTTTATTTTGCTCTTTATTTGTATTTTCCCCTTCTAGGCATGCTCATGAAAGAGTGAAGGAGATCAGATTACTGTGAGATGTGACTTCCATCCAAGTGAAGCTTGGAGCTTTATCATCCAGCCAGGGCTGGTTATAAAGGTGCAGAGTGAAAATCTGAGCTCTCTTGTTCAAAGACCAGAGAAATTGCTATTGAGAAATATAAAGCTGTCTTTCCAAAATAATCTGTTGCTTATAAAACACATAGGATTTATACGACCTATATATAACAATATAACATTACTAACTGCAAAAGAATGTGTCCTAAGTTTATATGAAAAATATAAAACATTACTTTATGAATAGAATGTCTTGATTAATCATAAAATTTTTCTGCCTTCTCTTACTAGATTTTCAAAAGTTATTCTTTCAGCAACTTCATTGTCAAGCAGTACAATAGAAAGTGATGTCAGATGCTCTTGAGAAATGCAAGTTTGCACCAGAACTTTTGATAATTTCTGGTTTTGAAAAATGATGTAGCAGATACTAAAGATTTTAAGAGTATTTTATGCACTATGACAATATTAGCAAAAAAATCTGATAAAGTAGTTTGAAATATAAATTTTAATAAATCTACAATTGATGTTTCTAGTGAAACAATTATCCTAAGATGATTCACTCCTCATACAAGTCCACTTCATGTAAGTCTGAATTTTGTTTTAATTGTAATTTACACAATAGCATTCTGTGTGTTCTAATAGTTTCTGTAACTCAGTACCTGAAAATGGCTTCATGATTTGTATATAATTCAAACTTCTTGCTTTTACATCACATTGCTACTATGTATCTTCAACCATAAGGAAAATTAATTTTAAAATTATCTGTTGTGTTAATAATTGCTTCATTGTCAAATTCTTGTCAAAATACTGTTTTTCTTCATAAAGCTACTATCTTTAAATTTAATTTTAATGTCTAAGACTGTGCAATTCACTCTACAATGTGACATCAGCTTTAGACCAGAGTTTCTGAACCTTTTGAAAGATTCTAATATTTCCAAAATAGTGTATTTAATTGTGTATATATACGCCTTCATTTTGTAATAATTTGCTAATAATGTTTATTGGCACGTACTTCTAGGTGCTTCATATTACTAGGGAGCTCTTAGCATGCACGTGCACCTGGAATGGGGAAACCAACTGTTCAGTTTATAGGTGTCCACTGTGCCCTTGAGTCTGAGCTTTCCTACATTCCTGTTGTAAAGCCCAGTGTTTCCCATAGGCTCACGTACACATCCCAGCCTCTTATCAATCTTCACTCCCATAGCACAAGCTCAAAGACAAATGCATTAAGAACATCACAGCAGCAATAGCAGAACATGAAGTCACCTTCTAGGCCCTTTGTGGGACCGAGTCTGTGGACTTTGTAGGCCACATGCCCAGGAAGCTGCACGTGCTTCCAGCTTCCCTGGAGCTGCCTGTTTGTCCTCATCTTAGTTCTCAGGATTCCAGTCCTTCCCAGACGATCCCATACATTCACATACATGACCTTGAGAGGCTGAAATTCAATTTGCCTTGTAATGGATGCAGTCACAAGTTAGAACTTTGCGTTTGCTTTTCAAGGTGTTGCTGCAAGCTTTTTGCCCATTTTTGCATACCACAAATGATGTAGGGAAATCTGGAATGCCAGATTCACTCAAAATGCAAGGTCAACGGATGTTAATATCAAAACAGGAAAAGTGCAATGAGCTCTTCTGGAAGGTGCTGTTCAGAAAAGATCGCAGTGCATCTGTTCCATTGTTGTGAGTGAACACAGAGTACAACTTTATCAATAAACGTTGTTGTCCTCGTGGAGGCCTCTCCACTGGCCGGCTCAGAGCACAGTCGCTGGTATCAGATGCCCTCAGTGGGAAATCCTCCCTTGCTTCACTGGTTATCAACCATGTGAGCTCAGAAAACCACTTTTGCTCTATAATCTTCAGTTTATTCTTACATAAAGTGAAGAAATATTGTCAGTACTTAGGTCATATATGGAACCGCCTAGATAGAGTGACTGACACTGAATGACAAGAAGAATTCTTTTTATTATATTTGTTACAGATTTCAAGTGTGAAAAAGTCAAAATGCAAATATATGTATATACATCTCACTATATATATCATACACTCTCATTGCATTTCCATGAAAATTGAATAACACAGAAATATCTAAAATACCAACTCATCTCTTTTCAATTTATTGACAATCATGAATTTATCCCAGGCTTTTTCATCACAGTAGCTTAGGAGCAATTGATGTGCTCTGCCAGGGGATCCACTGCACCAGTGCTTTGGGCCCTGCCATCTGTACCAGTGGCTCTTCTCCCCTGCAAAATAATTTCTGGAAGAGAAAGTGTACGAACCATATAAAGCAACTGCACTGAAAAGCCTGAGGTTAGCAGAAGAAACACTGGTGCAGCATGAATAAGGAAACCAAAGCTGTGCGCGAGGCTGGGCGAGTCTGCCTGAGGCAGCTGCGGTGACTCAGCCCCAGCTGCAGTTTGGGGCCAGGCTGCAGGTGACCTGGGAGCGCTGTGCCTCTCCTGCACATATGTAGGAGCCTGAGTCTCGCAGCTCGGAGGCTGTGATTTGCAGGGTGCTAAATCTCTCTTTGGAATTAAACGTTGACTCTAGTCTTCCATTCCGCTTTGTCCCAGTAGTCACTAAGAACAGATTGACGAGGCCGCCTCCTGGGCTTTGCCGGAACCACTGCACACTCCTCATGGTGGCAGAAAAATTGCAGGTCAGTGTAGGGCTGTCTCCCTCCCGGACACTCAGGGCTGAAGGGCTCTGTTCCACCTGCTCCCCTCTCACCCCTGTTTGGAAAGAGAGAAGCAGACACACATGTGGACACTGGGGAATCACTGAACAGTTTCCAAACCCGGACAATATCCCAGGACACGCTCATGAAGACGGAGAACAGTGCAGGGGATCTGCGTCAGTCCTCCCTTCCCTGCCTCGCATGTCACGTCCGCAAGCCCCTGACCCCGGGCGGGGGCCCTCAACTCACAGCAAACCTGCACCCACAAAAGCCCCAGCAGGGCTCCCAGTTTCCTCTCCATGGCTCCCGTCCTCGTGCCTGGGGCGTCCTTCTCCAGGCTCTGGAGGCTGTAAAGCCCTGTGCCCCAACTTGCTCTTACAGCAGCAGGTGCCCTAGACTCACTGAGCAGGAGTCCCTTCCGGACCCTTGCAGCTTCTCAATCAAAGCCCGCTCACAGTTGCCAGAGGAGACTATCCAGTAATCACTACAGTGCCCCCTAGTGGATTAAAACCGTCACTACAGGCCACTTCAGATCAGCAGACAGCCCTCACACAACCTAATTTTCCTGATGAAGGCAATGCAGATGGTCAGAAGTCAAAATGCCTAGATTGGATGGAGGTTTAAAAAAGAACTACTGTTATGGTTTGTATCTAAATGTCCCCCCAAAGACTCATGCAGTTATGGGGGCAGGCTTTGCAGAGGAGGCTGAATCTAGAGTTTGTGATTGATTCATGGTCCAATGCTGGCATTAAGAGTGTGAGTGCTACACCCACCCTAAGGCAGGTAGTCCATATACAGCATAAGGGACGGAAGAGCCCTCCCCTCACCCCCGTTGCTTTTGCTGCCTTCTGCAGCCATGAACTGTTGTCCCTCTGCCATGTGCCACCCTGCCTTGGAGCCAGCAGATTATGGACTAAAACCTCTACAAACTGTGAGCTAAAAAATCCTTTCCTGTCTTTAACTTTGGATGTTGGGTATTTTGTCTCAGCAATGAGAGAAAAGTAACTAAGACAGCTGTTTTTAGGGCTGAGGATGTAGCTCAATGGTAGAGTGTGTGGCTTTGGGTCCCAGCTTTAATAACCAGCACTGCACAAAAACAACAACAAATTTGTAAAACATCGTTATATACAAATTAAATATTACAGTAGGTTAGCAATCATCTTGAGCTATTCATTTGATTTCTTTAGTTCAAAATAAATCATAAGAACTTATGAGCATTTCATTTGGAGTGGATAACATGGATTTATAAAACGAGAAGAGAGAGTACGTGATAGTTTACATATAGTTATAATAAAATCAAAGAGTAGTAATCTGAAAGGAATGAAAACTGAAAGCTGTGTGGTCCCAGAGGCAGGAGATACTAGGCATGGGATCCCTGAACAAACACTTGTGGAGGATATGGGTGCCCCCCCCAACCTCACCCTTTTTGGTTTTTAAATTTTGTTTAAATTTTTAATGTATTTTATTAGTACATGTTATGAATGGTATCTAGATGTCCCTCCCAAAGCCTCATGTGGTCGTAGATCAGGAGTTGAGTGGCTGGATTAGGGTATGTGGATGTGGATTAAGGGTGTGATCCTGGGATTAAGAGGGTGGAAAACAGAAGCTCCCACTCTGGGTAAGGCTGGCACCAACTGATAGGCTTATAGCCCGGATGGGATACAAAGGGACAGAAAGAAGGCAGGCTTGCTGCTCTGCTGCTGCTTACTGCTTTGCTGTCTCCTGCCTGCTTTGCCATGGACTGCTTCTACTCTGCGACATTCCTCTGCCATACCACCCTGCTTTGGAGCCAGCCAACTATGGAATGAAACCTTTACAATCTGTGTGCTGAAATAAAACTTCCCTTCTTTAACTTTGGGTGCCATGCATTTTGTCTCAGCAAAGAGAAATATAACTAAAATAGTACATGTTTGCAGTACATAATGATTACATTTATAGGTAAATATTTACCATGACTTTTATGGATTTTTATTAGATTTAATTTTAGGAAAATTTTATATATATATATATATATAAGTGACAGTAATAAAATACTACATATAAGCCAAAATCTCTACTGACTCCACCTACTAATTCCAGCCCTTTCATTACTCATCACCCTAATTTGTCCTTCTTCTTTTCAATTTGGAGGTGATGCTCCAAATCTGTGTCTATTTGCAATCATATAACAGATGTATGAAGCAAGAGAAAATAGTGTTTATTCTGCAGCATTTTACTTCATACAACATAGTGCATCACATGCATACCTTTCTGGAATGTGCTTCATAAACTTCACAATAAACCTTGTAGGTCTTATGACACCACACATATGGCCCACTGTTCCCTTGCATGGTATTATGGGCATAGTTTAGTTTATGCAACCCTTCCTCTGTTGACCAACACTTAAAGTGTTTGTGGTTAATTAACTATGACATGTAACACTGCAGTGAACTGCTGAAGCATTCCTTTTATTCATGTGTACATCTGTTTCTCTAAGAGAGACACGAAGGAGTGAGGGAGTGAGAGATGAACCTTGTGGCCAGTATGTGGGGATCTCTCCAGGCCAAGGGAAAACCAGGGGGAAAGGCATATACAAAATTATATAAATATAATATAATTTAAGAATGCTTATGGTAAGAACAGGAATATACTACACATTTTCTAAAACACTAAAGGGAAAAATGGAAGCTTTTTCAATGCAACAGAAGACAGACTGAAAAAGAAAAAAATATAAAGACTACCTCAAACAACATCAAAACACACTGAATCCGAACATATCAGCAATCAAAACATACATAAAATAAATGATCTCACCGGATCAAAATTAAAAATCCTGTTCCATACTGAAGTTGGTCTAAATATGTACCATGTTTAGGTAAAACGCAAAGACTGCTGAGATGCTCTGGGTGTTTCTGACCTCTGATTCTCCTCAGCAAAGGAGACTAGGTCTGCTGTGGGGAAGATGGCTGCAAGGGCTGTGATCAAGGGACTCTTGTCTGTGCAACAGCACCCTCTAGAGGTCAAATGAAGGACTCTCCACAGGAAACTAATCTGTGCTTTCCATCTGCCTGGGATATAACAAAAATTTTCATTGAATGTTTTCTCTTTCCTAATCTGTACTTTGTAAGCCTCTATAACCAATTACATTAAACTTATTCTTAATGAAATATGGAGCCTCTAAAATAATGGAGTAATTTACCCTAGAGAAAATGAACACGCAATACTGCTTATTAGATTTCAGAGTCCATCACCGTATGACTGGAAAAGCAGTGTTGTGGTTTTTTAGGCAGACACATTCAGCTCACCTTCCTTTGGCTGAGCTTCTGATGACCTTTCTAGCAGTGAGTTTCCAGTTCACAGAGGATGTGATAGGCAGAAGAAAAATTATCTTAGCTGCTGACAAGAATAGGATCAAATATGGTTGAGTGTAGTAACTGGATCCCAGATGCTAGGGAGGCTGAGGCAAGAAAATTTCTTGAGTTTAATTAAAAACATGAGACCATGCTGGGCAACATAACAAGATTCTGGTTTGCCCACATGAGCATACGTGTGTTTGTGTGTTTGGTGAGGTGTACAAAATAACAATCTAGAATGTGATCCTTATTTAGAACAATGAAGAAAGATTGACTTTGTCTGTTTCAAGCAGGATTACAAAGATTCAGTGGCTTTAGATCAACAATAGTGAAAAATACAGTATTTAGGTAGTTATAAAAAAGTCCATTGCCTTCTTCTCTGATATCACTGCAGAGTCAGCCAATTCCGGGTTGCACACGATGGAGGAAATGAGAAGACCTGAGCATGTACTGTAGAAACAAGGCTGACAGACGATGGCGTTGCACAAGATGACGTAACAGTGTGTGAAAGGTGAAGGACAGAGTGAAGTAAGTGCACCTCAGTGTAACAGGTGCTTTACATTATTAACCCACTCCAGCAGATTGAAAAGGGAAAAGCCAAAACCATTTCCATTCGTCTGGTAACTGACAAATGTGATCATTCTATCCATTTCTATTTAAGATAGAAATAAATGTTTCAGCCAGAGCAATTAAGAAGCACAAAGAAATAAAAAGCACACAAATAGGAAAGGAGAACGTCAATTATCACCATTTGCAGACATTATCCAGTGTATATGAAAAACACAAACCTATACTCCTGATTATTATAACTGATAAATTCAGTAAAGTTGTGGTACACAAAATCAATGCACAAAATCAGTAAGCTCATCATTGTTGTATAAGAATGCTATTGATTTTTGTGTGTTGGTTTTGTGTCCTGCTAGCCTGCTAAATTTGGTTAACTCTAACTTTATGTCTTCCTTTTTATGCAAAACCTTTTTATTTCTGTCTCTTGTCTGGTTGCTTGGCTAATGTTTTGAGGCTTTCTTTTAAAAGAAGTGATGGTAGTGGGCAACCTCATCTTTTTCTGATTTTAGAAGGAAAGCTTTCAGCTTCTCTCCATCTAGTACGACATTGGCAGTAGGTTTGTGATAAACAGCTTTTATCAGCTCGAGCTGAGGTCCCCCTGTGTTATTTTCTTCAGGTTTTCTAATCATGAAAGGATGTTAGATTTGTCAAAGGATTTTTCTGCACTTACTGAGACGATCATATGATTTTTATGCTTGCTCCTGTTTATACTGTAGCAGAAGATGCCCCCTCCCCTCGGCAAGTACACTTCAGTTTGTTAGTTGCCCAGGTAATAGTTTCAGTTACAGTTCTGTTACTTTTGCTTTTTTAGAAACAGCTGGTCACTGTAATGCATAATCAGTCACTATGATGCATATTGTAAGAACTTAGACCCAATTGATGAGCCATTCTGCCTCTGTACTTCCTGCTTGCTTATTCCATATAAACCCTAGACCACCAGAGATCAGGGCCTGATAATCTGGGAATGATCCCAATCAGTGTCCATTGATGTAAATAAATCTGCCTCCAAATCCAGGGTGTTGTTTCGGTGTTTCTGCATGCCATCCCAATGAGATGTATTATATTGGTTGGTTTGCCTATGTTGAACTATCCTTAAATCCCTGGGATGGAGACTACTTGGTCTTGAATATTGACATACCACAAGAACCAACGATGTACCACACTTACCCATAGAAAAGAGGTCTATATCTGACCAGCACATGGATTTCATTCAATAAGACAAAACCCGCAGTTCTTTGATACTTTCTTTCTCTTCATGGGGTATGAAAGACTGTACTCTGATGCTTGCACAGTGACACTGGGGAAGCTCTTAACTTTACACAAATTCAATTTCCTTTCCGTTAAGCAACTTGTCACTGTTGGCTCTGGTCTTGGCACTGGTATCACCATCTCATTCACTTCTTATAATATCCACTGTGCTGGATATTACTAATGCCCACATAGAGGAATGAAGAAACCAAGCATGAAATTTATTAAGTTATCTGCCAACATTACTCAGTTAATGAGTATACTTTGTAGCCCGAATCACACTGTG